TTTTTTTTGAAGAACTAAGGGAAATGGCACAAAACCACGATTGTTCAAAACCAACTTTTTTGTGGAGCTTGAAATGCGAATTTTGACCAGTGCAGCACACATACACACCAATTCTTTGTTGGTGTTGGAGGAGTCGACGAAGTGAAGCGGCATTAGCATGCTTTTAAGTTAAAAACATAGGACGTCGCCAAGAGCTGTCTTTTTAAACAACAAAAAAAAGGAAGACATAAAATGAAAAAAATGGACTGCGAGCCAAAAAAGAGAGAAAACTGGGTAAAATTGGCAAAAACAGAAAAACTACGAGAAGGGAAATGAGAGTACACTGAGGGAAACTGGGCATGTGTGTGTAAGGGAATGGCTTTGGCTGGGTTGGCCAGTATGGTGTGGGTGGGAGGGTGGGTACGTGTGCACGTGCACAAGTGTGAGTGTTTGAGGATGCGTGTTTCCTCTGGATTTGCGATATAGTTACTCTGAAGATATCGGAGTAGATATCGGGATCCCTGATGATGACCTCCTGGGTAAAAAAATTGGAACAATCACTGTACGTGGTGTAGCCAAGGACTGTTCGTGTGTTGCGGATTGGAGGTGAAGTATAAGATATCTAGTAACTTCAGCTGTTTTTGCCAATCTGATAGACTTCTTGAACAATCAAGCTTTCAAGAAGTGCAATATTGGAAGTTCAAGTGACGACCTTGTAGGGGCGTCGTATGCATCTTCTCAAGTCAATATACCTGAACTCACCAGCACAAGTATTATGTTGGGCGGTGCATAGTCGCGGCGAGACGGGAGCTGGAACATGAAGCAGTGCCCAGGACTAATATACTTGCTCACTTTCAATCATTTGGGTCCGGTGTGGCCTTGTCCCTTGCACCTTTCCCGGAGAATTTTGCTGAAGTGGAGAGAAAAGCACAGCGCATTGTTCGTCATTTGCATGTCCTTGTGCACTTGCCGTGAAACAAACTCCAGGTTTTTCGTGCATGATGACCTCCATTCAGTGAACCAACGGACTGTGTTTAGGAATGCTCCTAGCAAGGCATCTCAACGGTCCTACATGTTCTATCTTGATCCAAGGTCCTCTATAAGTGCCCTCACCCTCTGCAAGTAGTATCGCATTGCTACAGTTGTCAGAGGTGGGAACGCTGTCCGCCATTTCCATTTTGACACGGGCATTGAATATGCCATAGGCAAGTCTGCATCATTGTACTGCAAACGAAGTAAACGAGTCCAAGTTCACATGCTCCTTCCTAAGTAGGGTGAATCGGAGCAGTCTGGGCCACTTCCTGTGTACAACGTCTTCCACTTGGCTCCAGGTCTGACTTTGAACACCAATTGTCAGGGTTCTTGAGTAGCCCCGGCCATGTTCATTCACTCTTCGGCAAAGTGTTTCTCGGTCGGTGAACATAAAGAGAGGCCAATTGCCGAATGGGGTACGGCCCACATCAAGGGTGCTCGTGGAATGTTCACGCACGAATTTGCGGTCAGGTGCTGCGTCGTCACATATAGTACCAATGACAATAAATCTGAAATCGTGCAGTTTTGACACTCCTCTCGAGATGATCCGATTGATTTGGTGTCCTCCGAGAGACTTGGAGAATAAGTAAGAACAAGGAACAAGGAGAGGTGACAGGGACAAATAGGGACTTCCAGTGAAATTGCAGCACGTGTGTTTCAAGCGAGTCCTCGGGCTTTGTACACAAGCTGTCGTCTTGATCTTCGGCCAGGTCAACAAAGCCAATGAGCTCATTGGACTTACTATCCCTGATTAAGGTCTCTTTAATTGTCATCTCATCAAACGCTAACACTCCAAAATGGCTACGGTCAGGTCCTCCACGATTCGATTTAACAAATCAGTCTTTGTAGACGGTTTGCATTTCCATGAGGCATTGATCTTGCCAGCCAGTCTCTGGATGCTGGTAGTTGCAATAAAACATCAGGACTCTGTGCCCGGCGGCAGCTTTAGAAAACCACTGCTCCTCACAAGTTGTCTCGTAACCACTTTTGGATCTAGAAAACTGCTGCAAGCACCGTCTCAGAACAACAGGATGCCACTTCATTTGCTCAGGTGATGTTAATGCTTTTGCTTGATCTTCAAGCAGCAGAGAAGAAGTTTGGAGGCTTCCTGCAGTTTCGTAGTAGATACAATTGGGTGAACTCACCCATTCCACAATACTCTGCAAATTTCCGAACCATTCCATTATATACAACGTTTCGGCCAATGGCCTTCTTCAGGTAGTCAATGATGTCCCTAAGGCTGCAAACGGGCGGTTTAAATATGTGCCTGTTCCGCCCGAAGCGCGCGATCTATTCTGCTAACGGGGAGGCGGGAAAACCCCCAAAAAAGCCAGGTGTAAAGCTGGCCTGCATTGATGGTGTTGCGTTGGACCGTAGCACAGTACGAGTCGAGCGCAAGGCAGGGAGGCGGGATAATACAGATCGGGCGCTAGGCGTAAATTCGCCACCTGCACCGATGGCAGGGCGCTTGGCAGTAGCAAGCTATGGCTGTGAGTATGAGTCAGGTGCGAAGCAGGGAGACAGGGTGATAGGAAACAGGTGTAGAGCGACGACTAGCCCCGATGGCGTGGCGCCGAGCCGCAGAAAAGTCAAAGTATGTCAAGTGTGATGAAGCAGTGTGTCAGAAGTCAGCAAGAGGCAAGCTGTGAAATTACACCACAGCAGGTAGGCATTTGTTGCAAGGTAATGCGCGTGCAGATGGTAGCTCAGATAATGAAAGTAGTATACTAGTACATGTATATGTATAGTATGGTGCAGCAATGAGAAGTATTCATCCTCTGGTTTGCCTGTGTGCCGTCCAATGTGTGTTTTGAATGCCATTCTATTCTGGAACTCTGTGTGATTGCAGGACTCCCAACGGCACTTGTAAGGCGACAGGCGTTGTGAATATGACTCTTCCATATTGATGTGAGTGTTATAAATGTGGTGTTGAAGGGCCTCGATACTGCCGAACTCTGCCTTGAAGAATGATCACTTGCTACTTGGGTGCTGGGCTCTTGATTTGATCTCATCCATACCCTTTTCTAGCTTGGTAAACAGCTCGGCATACTCGGCACTGTACTTTGGCACTGCCATTCTTTGTTTTGCTGCCTGGAGCCATTCAGTGTATTTCTGGGAGGTTCTGCTCTTACTGACCTCGTTCCGTAAAATAGTGATCAATTGCTCTAGAGAAAGATGAAAAAATGGCGCGTGGATGTCTGGTTCACTTTGTGACCTCCTGTTAGATTTCGACTGTGCATTGCGCAGGGAGTTGTCCATTGCTGCACAGGACACACATATGCATATTATATACTGGAAAACAAGAAAGTTAAACGACCAAAAAGTTCAACGTTTTGTAATTTTTGCATGATAACGTGCAGAACGTTTAATGATGGCTACCTGGCTACCTATCTGTATGCGCCTCTTCACACAGACATCTGAAAGCGGGTTCGTGATAATGTTTCTTCAAATAACGAAGAAAATTGGCCTTTAAAACGTTAGACTTTGTGACTCGTTAGATTTTCTGGTTTTACAGTAAATGAAATTAATAAATATCACCCTTGCTGGCAACAAACATCGGACATACAGTTGTGCGTGCACACCTGTTGGGCACCCATGGTTGCTCAAACATTGCCTCCAAGTCATCATTCTTCCCCTTAAAACATCCTCCGTCCACTCTTGCCTTGATCCATTCTTGAATCTTAATACTTTCATAAAGACAGCCCTTGCAAAATCGTGCATTCTCCACGTTCAACATTAGTTTGTTTTAACTGTTATGTTCTCCGACGAGTCTACGAGAAAGTAGTGGGCTGGATGCTGAGGCAGGGTTGATGTCCGCTGTGGTCCCAAGAACCCGGACAGTATATGTTAGGTCAGGACTCAGATCAACAATGCCTGTGGGATGAAAATTTAAGGATGAATCCGTTCTGTAGTAAGCCAGTGATCTACCCTTCTCTGCAGTTATTCAGTGGTCACTTCTTGCAATACAACGCTTTTCAATGCTGTTGAGGTCAAATGGTGATGCTGACAGTGAGGTTGCAGAATTTGTCAGAGTTGCTGTTGTAGCAGCAGCAGCAGAACTAGTGGGACCTGTAGTGGCAGATGGCGTGGTAAAGGTCTTTCCAGTCATACAGGTCGTTTGGTCGTACAGGTCGTTGTATCCAGAGTAGCTGAAGAAAAAGAAGCACACGGATACATTGTTGCTGTGGTAGCAGCAGCAGCACCTCCACCACACACACCACTCGCATCACAAACTCATGCACCACGTTCATCTTTGTAGCGAACAGATTTTGTTTATAACAAACCGTATCTTGTAAGGCCGCATGTAACAAGTTATACCATGTGCATGCATGCAGTCATGGGCCGCATGCCTATCATGATGTGTTGCTTGTATAGTGTGAGTGCACTTTTAGAATTCTAATGAGAGCATTTTCGATTTTCTTCTCTAGTAGAATTTTCCGGCTTGTTTCTCCTTCCTCATGCAGAAGCAACAAAGAGTTCAGCCATCAGCAAGCCAAGAAGAAACCACTTGCTGAACTCTGATTGGCTGAGGGCGGTTGACCAGTCATTTCAGGTGTGAAGTTTAGAGCCGGGATAGGCTAGGTGCGGAGTATGTACATGTGCAGTGTCTGTACCGGAGATTCACAGTGCATGACTTGTCTCCATGTGCATGTTGTGCATGTTGTGCATGTTGTGTGTGTGTGTGTGTGTGTGTGTGTGCGTGCGTGCGTGCGTGCGTGCGTGCGTGCGTGCGTGCGTGCGTGCGTGTGTGTGTGTGTTTCTGCAGGAGGAAGGACAGCCACCAACAGCAAGCCAGCGAGAAGGCAAAGAAAATTCTATAGTATTAGCTAATGGCTGAACTGCATGAGGAAGGAGAAACAAGCCGGAAAATTCTACCACAGAAGAAAATCTAATAGTATTAGCTAATGGCTGAACTGCATGAGGAAGGAGAAACAAGCCGGTGGTCAGGACTCAGATCAACAATGCCTGTGGGATGAAAATTTAATGATGAATCCGTTCTGTAGTAAGCCAGTGATCTACCCTTCTCTGCAGTTATTCAGTGGTCACTTCTTGCAATACAACGCTTTTCAATGCTGTTGAGGTCAAATGGTGATGCTGACAGTGAGGTTGCAGAATTTGTCAGAGTTGCTGTTGTAGCAGCAGCAGCAGAACTAGTGGGACCTGTAGTGGCAGATGGCGTGGTAAAGGTCTTTCCAGTCATACAGGTCGTTTGGTCGTACAGGTCGTTGTATCCAGAGTAGCTGAAGAAAAAGAAGCACACGGATACATTGTTGCTGTGGTAGCAGCAGCAGCACCTCCACCACACACACCACTCGCATCACAAACTCATGCACCACGTTCATCTTTGTAGCGAACAGATTTTGTTTATAACAAACCGTATCTTGTAAGGCCGCATGTAACAAGTTATACCATGTGCATGCATGCAGTCATGGGCCGCATGCCTATCATGATGTGTTGCTTGTATAGTGTGAGTGCACTTTTAGAATTCTAATGAGAGCATTTTCGATTTTCTTCTCTAGTAGAATTTTCCGGCTTGTTTCTCCTTCCTCATGCAGAAGCAACAAAGAGTTCAGCCATCAGCAAGCCAAGAAGAAACCACTTGCTGAACTCTGATTGGCTGAGGGCGGTTGACCAGTCATTTCAGGTGTGAAGTTTAGAGCCGGGATAGGCTAGGTGCGGAGTATGTACATGTGCAGTGTCTGTACCGGAGATTCACAGTGCATGACTTGTCTCCATGTGCGTGTGTGTGTGTGTGTGTGTGTGCGCGTGTGCGCGTGTGTGTGTGAGTGCGTGTGTGTGTGTGTGTGTGTGTGTGTGTGTGTGTGTGTGTGTTTCTGCAGGAGGAAGGACAGCCACCAACAGCAAGCCAGCGAAAAGGCAAAGAAAATTCTATAGTATTAGCTAATAACTGAACTGCATGAGGAAGGAGAAACAAGCTGGAAAATTCTACCACAGAAGAAAATCTAAAATCCTGGCCATCCCAAACCCCGACCACCATCCCCTCCTGGAATGATTACTTTTGTAGCCTATCCTGGCTCTGAACTTCACACCTGAAATGACTGGTCAGCCGCCTTCAGCCAATCAGAGTTCAGCAGTGTTTTCTTCTTCGCCTGCTCAGATGGCTGGTTTTTTCTTCTTCGCCTGCTGATGGCTGTTCAGCCATCAGCAGGCCAAGAAGAAGAAGAAGGAGAAACAAGCTGTAAAATTCTACCGGAGAAGAAAATCTAAAATCCTGGCCATCCCAAACCCCGACCACCATTCCCTCCTGGAATGATTACTTTTATAGCCTATCCTGCTCTTGACCTCGACCACCCTCAGCCAATCAGAGTTTAGCAAGTGTTTTCTTCTTGGCCTGCTGATGGCTGAACTCTTTGTTGCTTCTGCATGAGGAAGGAGAAACAAGCCGGAAAATGAAACCGGAGAAGAAAATCTAAACAGAATTTAGATTTTCTTCTCCGGTAGAAATTCCCTGTGTGTGTGTGTGTGTGTGTGTGTGTGTGTGTGTGTGTGTGTGTGTGTGTGTGTGTGTGTGTGTGTACATGCGCGTGCATGTTTGTGTGCGCACTTCTGTTAGATTATTTACCTTTTCTACACTTGTGGAGGCTTCGGTTAAACTCACAGAGACCTTTTTTCAGGCCGACCTTGAGACTCAGCCCTCCGTTTCCTAAAGTGCGAGAAGAAAGGCGACAAATGTATCAAGATTATCTAGCGCTCACCTAGCTGCCACCATATAGACAGGAAACACAGTGACTTTTTTTAACAGAATCCGGGCAATGTCATGAATCATGGAATGATTACGTAATATTGACCTATGATGCGTTTTGATGCGTTTTGACGATCATAAAGAATAGCAGGCAACCTTTGCCGTTCACCCCGCAACAACACTCCATTCCCCGGCAAGCACGAGTCGAAGATGTTTCTGGGAATGTGTGCCCGTGTCCTCTCCCGGGCCTTTACGACTCCCTGATTCTTACAGTATTCCTATGCATCCACTCAGAAGTTGCATGAAAACGGAAGAGCTAGGGTATGCATACTTCAGTTAGTGGAGCGCAACTCTAGCTTTGGGAAATAGTTTGTTGGATTTCCACTTCCACGCGGGCTTTGTAAGTACATGCAGGTGGCATGATTTGTTGGTTTTTTCACCAACCCACATCTGAGAGAAATGAGCTAGTCACAACCAACCGGCAACACCTGAAATCACTATAGACGTGTACAATGTACCGAGACTCCGAGAGGTCTGTCTTGAAGGGCTAGAAGCTCCACTTCCGTTAAATTGGGTGCACCGCTGAATGAGTTTGGGTGCCAATGCTTCATGAGTGTACTGTAACCACCCTTGCAGACTTGCAGTATCCAATTCTAAATGCCTATAAGTATTAGTACAGTACGTACATGTATCGGTTATAGTGTGGGTGTTTGAAAAAAGAGTTTTGATTCTTATTTCCGTTATTTCTTACCCACGATCACGTGTGACGTATCATAATGCATGTGCGCAGAGGCAGGAAAGTCATCGTACATGCAACGTAGTGCTACCATGCATACGGCTGTCCGTAGTCCCATAGACTCACCATGTGGCTGTGCAACATTAGTTATGACCTCAATGGATACACTTTCAGTACTACAATGTGATGCAAATCGGTTCAGAGCTGCACCAGGCAGATGTTATTACTACAGACGAGTATACACTTTACACTAATGTGGCATATTTGCTGCCCAAAGTCCATTCTTAGGGCCGATAATGTTCTATTATACGATAATATTGCTGGTAAGAATACATGTTCACTTGAAAGTTGAAGCCCATGTTATGATTGTGAAAATATGAGAGTTCATTCTTGTAGGCAGTACTTCCTCCGCGTCATCGAAATTGTCGCAGTTTGACTTTTGATATAAAACGGGGGATTTAGTCACCAGCAGTTGTACCACAGGTAAGGAATCGGACATAGGTAGGGTCCAGCGGATAATGCCGGCATTATATTCGGCATTATATTCGGCATTATAAGACTACCCGAGCATCAGAGCATTATGGAGCATTAGAAAGGAACGAAACGAGCATTGTGTGAGGTTTGAGCGGCATAACGAGTTTCATAGTGGATAACATCGGCAAATCCTAGGTTTTTGGCCACAATCGGCTACAATCATGATCATGAGGTGCAACCAGACCTTATGCATTGCAGGTCTACGGGCACATGACTTTGTGATTGTGTAGACACGTAACACCTTTAGCACTAATGCTATGTCGTGTACATTTACTTGGCCACATAATCAGTCATTGCTACATAAAACACGTTATCTGGTTATGTAGCGATGTGGTCAGGGCTACAAGCCATTTATGAAGCATGGCCAACCGAGGCAGTTACACAAATCCGGAGAAATGATTTACCGGTATGAGGTTTCTTTTAGAATAATGGAGAGCAATGGAGGAGACATACGCAAAGTGAACGAAGAAGAGTTTTCTCGTTGTGCCATAGGCTCTGGCGATAGCATCTCTAGGGATGCTGAAGTAGACATTGATGCCTTGATAAATTTGGACCAGGATAAAGGAGCGTCTATAGAGAGAAAGAGCTTGCTCCAAAACAACTGCCTTTGCCGAGTCCAGCTCAGGACCTACATGTAAGAGCCTGGAAAAGAACTAGAATTACTCATGGACTCCGTACCAAGTCGATTGGAGCGCTCAGCAGCGCGTGTCTTACTTTCCTGATGAAGCACGTACAGTTAGTTATGGTCGACGGTTGTAATGCCAGGCCTACAGTCAAAAGCTATCAGAACTTGGGAAGAGGCAAACAATACCTCTACACACCATCTCGAGGAGAATATGAGAGCACAAGCAAAAGATGTAGAATGGCAAAATAACTTCTGACCACGTGTTTTCAGGATTTCCGCAAATGATGTCGATCAGAGATCGGCTCTCAGGAGCTGGCCTCCCGTCTGGTGTTTCAGATGAAGACACTATTTGCAGAGTGGAAGCAGTGACAGCTTGTCTGCAGGCAGGAATACTATTGGCCAGGATAAACTTCATCCCAACAATGAATGACTACCTGCAAAAATGATTTCATCTCTCACTACATGGATAATTAGGGGAAGATTTGATACACCGACTATTCTGCCACAACCCTGCATCAAAGTTGGAATGGAGAGCAGCCAATGGAGAAGTGATCATGATTCATAGTGCTAAGAAGTGGTGGAGCTCGTTGGAGATAATGTGCCAGCTTCAGAGGCAGATCCACGATAAGCATAATTTCCTGGAAGTTTGACAATGTGCAGACTTTCTTCCATTTTGTCCCAAACCAAGAGCATTATATCCCTTGCTGAAGCATTATAATCAGCGTTTTAAGGCAGTTTTTGGAGCATTATGGTTAGCATTATACGAACATTTTCGGAGCATTATCCGCTGGACCCTAGACATAGGCGATAGTCATCAGTATAGGGTGATGGCAAAGTTCTATTTTCTGTTATTGGAAGATTTTTGAACTAGACACAATTTCTTCGCTGATGTCGCTGCGATGGTACCTTCGACTCGCTGAGATCAGTCAGGCGTTGCAGCCTGCACATTTCTCGTGCTTTTTATAGCCATTCACTCAAAAACTCATCACTGTTTTACCCGAGGTGGGGTGAAAATGACTTCGTGGAACAAGGGGCAGCGATTGGAGAAACATTGAGGGGTCAGCAAACTAAATGCATCCAAGAGCGGAAAAAGTGTCGCTCTTGCATTCATGCAAAGAATGCTGAGGCACTCAGTACGTGCACCTGCAAGAGCCGTGTAGACTCTATACATGTAGCTACGTACAATGCTAGTGATGCACGCGCAGGTACCGTGCCAGTGATGCTGAAAAAGGGTGCGCGCTCGGCGTGATAGTAGACTGACCTGCATGAGCAGTGACCACACAGTTAAATGAATGCGGCTAAAAAAAGTTCGTTTCAAGATCGAGGTGATTCCGCCGACGGTAATCAACCGACCTCGCAATGATTGTGCATTCTTATTTCGATGGTGGTGATGTAGAAATCATCCAGAGCTAGCAGACGACAAACATAGCAGCTATTGTCCTGTGGAGAAAGTCAAAGCGTTTGAGATGAGGCGCGACCAACTTACAACATTCCTGGAAATTTTGCGGAACGATATTTTTCATCCATTGACACCAGCGACGACGAGGCCTTCATGTCTGCGTGAAACTCTCAGTCCAACTGTCCTGGAACGTTACTCTAGACTTCAGACTATCATACTGTGTAATATTTTTCTGATGGTTTAGCTTATGGAGTTGTCAGTAACAAGTGACAAGTCACTAGTCAAACTGCGACAATTTCGATGACGCGGAGGAAGTATATTATTTTACACGACCACATTAAAACCGATACGCACTGTAATATTGTGTTGTCACCACAATTGCTTGTACATGTAGCCATCATGAGACTAAAACATTGCAAAAATCTGTTCTCCAGCAAGTCCTTACCTGTACCTGTGTGTCCACAGCGTCCACATCAGTGAAACCGTCCTGTCTGGCTGTATGAGACCAACCTTCTTGAACTGGCATATTCATGCAAGTGTTGCTTGTGGAAAGGCCATTCTGTTGCACACAAAAAAGCACATTGGGTCAATAATGATGCATTGAGAGGTAAGACAACATGTGTGACATGTGTGCAACATGCTGAAGAGAAGAGCACTGAGCAGTACGCTCATGAAGACAATGCTAGTATTCATGTACACGCAGCAGACATTGCCTTTTGCGTATCATGGACAATGCTAGCAGTTTCTATGCAGTCGTCACGAGAGGCGTAATGCAGTGGCTTGGGCAACGGGAGTTTTAAATTGCATCACAATCACATTGTTCCCCAGATGCCCTACCTGGATTGAATTAAAATTATATATACTACTTATCACTGTATTGCCACAACACTGGTGTTACAACTATGCAACATGCTGGCAAATTATGTACGGTGTTGTTGCCTTCTCCCCCGTATTTCCCAGGGTTGATTTGGAAACATCACCACCATACATGTACATGACATCTCAATACACATACAATGTAAATCAACCCATTGATTCATCAAAACCCTGCTCAACGTATTGCACAGTGATTGACCTAGCCAATTTCTGTTGCAAACATATCACCTTTAATACTATCTTTGTTAGGATGAGTATGAATACCAGTACACGCATATACATGTACATGTACATGACACATGTATACCCCCCCCCCCCCCCCCCTCTCTCTCTCTATCCATCAACCTGTCTTTTTTTCATGTAGTCTTCACATCTCAACATCCTGAGGGTTGTAACAGTCAACAAAACAAATTGTTCTATATTGGGAACATCCAGCAAATGTACATACATAAACACAAACAGGATAACCTATTACATGCACATTCCAGAGCACCTTGCCCTGCCCCATATCAACAAAGGAATGTTCGTGCCAGCAGTAGAACCAGTCCAGCTCTTTGCATCGAGTTCTTGTTCACAGGCAGGTGTAGTGGCTTTTCCCCCACTGACCTGACAGTGCAAATTGTCCATGCAGGATCCCTTCCATTCTGTGCAAAAAAGTGTTGCATGGAATTTGTCGACAATAGAAAATTTCCCCAAGGGGGGGGGGGGGAGGGGGAGACGTATTGCATGTTCACCTACTTTGTCCCCGTTAGTCTACCACAGTACTAGTTATGGATGCCGGTCCCACCTTTATAGTCTGGTGTGCTACTACTACTACTACTACTAGTACTGTATACATGTACATGTACATGTATACGTATACATGTACATGTACATGTATACATGTACATGTACATGTATACAGTGGAGAGAGGCGGCACACACTACATGGGCACTGGCCATAATGATATCAAACTCAAACTCAAAGGAACCCACTGACATGGTCTAGCTCCTCATCATGCTAGACCTGTACTTGAAAGTGTTTGTCATGGATTGGCATCATCTGAACAATTATTAGTTTAAAAAGTAGACCAGACAGTATTGTTACTGCACTACAACTGTACTTAGTAGTGTGTACCAGTGCAGTTGACCAGGTTAAGTATGATACATGTACTTGAAGTACAATCACTCAGTCATGTACATGTACCGTCAATACGCAATACGTGTACGTCATTGATACTAATACCAAGAGTATAATTATAAGGGGCTTCTATACTCTTGCTGATACGTGTACGTGTACATGTAGACGACAGCACACACAAGAAACGCACAAGAAAGGCATAATACTGTATAAGCAGAAAATTTCGTCGGTCAATAATTTCGTCCAACTCCAAAGAAAGGGAGTTCGTCCGGTTGTAAATTTCGTCCATGGATCATAAGAGTGTATGGAAAAGCTGGACAAATCAATATTAGTCCGGCATTTAATTTAGTCCAACAGCTCCTTGGACGAAAAAGACGAAATTAAATTCCAGACGAATATTTCTGCTTGTACAGTACTCAAATTACAATAGTCAATAGTCAATAGTGCCACAGTAAGGTCTAGTTATACACTGTACTACATGAACATGCCATGATGATCTGTGGTTGTGCATAGCCAGTGCAGTGTACGTACATGAACATGCCATGATGATCTGTGGTTGTGCATAGCCAGTGCAGTGTACGTACATGAACATGCCATGATGATCTGTGGTTGTGCATAGCCAGTGCAGTGTACGTACATGAACATGCCATGATGATCTGTGGTTGTGCATAGCCAGTGCACTGTACATGTACATGACGTGCATGTGCAAATAGTAGAATTGCAAGTTTTCTTCCACGACTGATATCAGAACATTTCTATGTTAGGTGACAGAATCCAGGGCGGGGAGGGGTCTTGTCACTCTTGTGCGCTGATTTGTATACACCAGTAACATGTTACAATAACATGAATGTATGGGGAAGGTTACCCAAAGCTGTACATCAGTCATGTACATGAATATGACTGTGTACTGCCTTGTTTGCGGGAAGGCCACCACTGACGTATCACGGTATGAAGAGAGAGAGTCGTCTGAGACTGGGAGACAACAATCATTCTTGCAGCACCGAAGCAAAACCAGTGAATCCCAATGATCACCTTTTGTCATGTACAATCATGTACATAGTCATTGTTGTCCCCTTCCCCCCCCCCCCCCCCCCTCCAGTGCGGTTAGGAGTGATGTGCACACAGACTGTCATAATTATACAAATAGATGAGGCCAATCAGATCCACCGCCTTTTCTACGCTTCTCACTTGTCACATGACAACATCTGCCAGCTGAATCTGGAATCTGTCTCCTACAGGCTATTGTCACCTAGCTATGTGGACACCATCTGGTATTGTGCACATGGGAAATCATACAGTATTTTATCAATATCATTACATGTACATAATGATTATCATCCCATACCACGGCTTGATACTGGTAGTTCCCAGCTTTGTAGTTGCCGTGGGTGCGATACACACTACATGTACATGAACATTGTAGTTTTAGATAGTGTTAATGAAGAACATGACAGGGGTCTGTGGACACCTGTACTGTAGGCTGTGGACAGTACTGTCACTATCATTGCATCTCATCAGCGCATGGCAACAATCTCATAAACAAACATGGAGCCCTTTCCAATGCTGTCGCTATTCAAATGATAAAAATTTAAAAATGTACATGTAGATTGTAGGCAGTGAGTCTGTCAGGGAACATGTACATGTACATGTACATGTACATGATTGTACAATTACAATTCACACACAATGTATGCACAGGGAGATCAGGAATAGAAGATGATCATCAGCTCATTTCAAGGTAGTGTAGCAACCCAACATGGAATACACCAGTTTTGCAACAGCTAGACACAGATGACTAATTACTTTCTCACTCTGTCTGTCCAATCTCACCGCCGCACATTACATGTATCAAACCGTACCTCACTCTGCCCCAGTAACTCACCCTGCCCCAGTATTTAAACTCACCCTGTGACTCTTTGAGTGTCCCTGTCTACTGTATCCTTGTCCATTCTACATACATGCAGCCTGTACATGTACATGACTGTTTACCGTCACGTGCAAGGACCTAGGGTTTTCCACGTCAAGACACACTATTCATTTCAGGGCTTCCTGCCAATGACAGTATAACTGTCACAATGCCACCATGGCTGTAACACACCATGCTCTGGATTACTTGGCTTCGGATTCTGCATAATACGCAGGCACAATCACTGTTTGTCCAGTATGATACTGTATCATAAGAAGTATCAGTCGCACTAGTACGACTACATAACGCTTCCTCGACTTCATGTCCCACTCCCACCGCACTAGTCCCCATCAGTGCATCACCAGGTCACAGACTCACAGATCCCCGTAGTCCCCATCACCAGGTCACAGACTCACAGATCCCCGATTAGATCTTGTCATGTACATGCACATGTATCTGCCTCATTGCGAGTTTTTAGAATACTTTGTAACAGAATGTACGTAGTTCTACACGTGTCTCTAGCAACAACAACGTCAGAATCTCGTCGGAATCCTAGTCACAGGGGCGCACCCGCCGCCCATCTCCACAAAACAAAACCTCAAAGACCACTCACTAGCCATAAAAGGTGCGAATGTGAGGGCAGCTCGAGCAGGGGACTTTTGTTTTACTAGTTTAGCTCCAGAAGAACCCCATACAGTCATGTACATGACTGTATCATGTAGAGGGGACGGTTTCAAATAGGACATAGGTTGCAAACCGGAACGGACTCAATATTCACTTTCTCTCTTGGTATTTTGATTAGAAAACATATGTCACAGTGAGACTACGATGTGTTATACTCCGAGCCAAAATTTCATGGCTCTGCGATGACCAGAAGCGCCATACCAAGCAGGTGAGTTTTTGACGTGTTGCTTCGCACTGCGACTTGAGTTTTACGACTTTCGAAAAATCAACTTCTTGTCGCAGGTAAACAGCGGCTCGCCTCTCGCCAATAAAGCACAGCATACCAATCAAAACTAATGGAAGCACACACAAGGCTTATTGTTATTCTGTACTGGCCGTCGTGGAGCGATAGCAATTACCTAATTTCAGACCCAGAGTGAATTTGACGTGCACTCTAAAACGTGTCCGGTTTGGAGCCACCTCTGATTTGAACTTTTTTGAAGCGAAAAATTGGGCAACTTGGAGGCAATGGGTCAACACAAAGGAGTGGCTCAGTTCGATTGACTCTGGCCTCAGAGCAAACTTCAACATGCCAGTTTCCTTCCACAAACATATTTCGAGTGAAAAATCAACGCTGATGATCGGTTTGGGTCTATACAAATTTGGCTGTCAAAGCGTCCCGGTATCGAGCCGTCCCCTCTACAGTCAGTACTAAGATTAGTAAGAACTATAGGGAGTGTACAGTGAAACCTGTCTCAGACGACCGTTCGTTCAAGTGAAGGGACCTTGAAAACATGTGGACTCTGTTACCAGGTGGTCTCCTTATCCAGGGTCGTTTGACTGGAAAAAGCATCCCTGGCCCTTGCCTTGGCCCTATCGATCCTGGTTGCAGTGGTCATCGGGACAGGTGGTTGCCTTATCCGAGTGGTCACCTTGACAGGGTTTACTAGCTGAGTCACCAGCAACAAAAGGTCTTACTGGTACAACGGTCCTT